GCCCCGCCGCAGCCGGCCGCCGCCGCCCTCGTCGCCCCGGGCGCGCGCAGCAGCAGCAGCAGCGGCCGCCGCCGCGGCCGCCGCCGCGGCCGCCTCGGCCTCAGCGGCGGCCAACGACCCCTCAATGCTGTCAGCACTGGCCGCCGCCCTCCAGAGCGCCTCTGCTGCCGCTGTGGCCTCCATGCCGCTCGTCCCCTTGCAGTTGCCCATCCCCCTGCCCCTCGAACCGCTCCAGGGCGCACCCGCCGCCAGCCCGGCAGCCGCAGCCGCAGCGGCGGCGGCGGCCAGGCGGCCGCCTGGCGCGAGTGACTTCGTGAAGGGTGACCCGGTGGCGCAGGACCCGCATGAGTTTGACTCATCGAGTGACCTTTTTGTCGACGACTGGGCGGCCGAGGCGCTGACTCAGCTGGCGGGCACGACGGGGTCTGTAACGGCTGCGAGGCAGCTTCTCGCTCAGCGGCTGTTGCCACAGCATCACCTGCAGCAGCAGCAGCAGCAGCAGCAGCAGCAGCAGCACGCAGCGGCGGCGGCGGCGTTTGCGGGGGCGGCAGGGCGGACGCCCCTGGCGGGGCAGCTGGGGGGCCTGAGCGGGCAGCAGCTGCTGCGGTTGATGGGGCCGACGCAGCAGCAACAGCAGCAGCAGCAGCAGCAGCATCAACAGCAGCGGCAGCAGCACAAGCAGCAGCAGCAGCAGCAGCAGCAGCAGCAGCAGCAGCAGCAGCAGCAGCAGCAGAACCAGCAGCAGCAGCAGCAGCAGCAGCAAACAGCGGCCATGGTGCTGGCGGCGGCGGCGTCGCAGCCGCACGCGCCGGGCCCGAGCGCCCCCGCCGAGCGGCAGGGGCCCCTCGCGCCCGCCCAGCAGCAGCAGATGGAGGCGGCGGTGGCACGGGTGCTGCAGGACTTCCTGCCGCAGCTGATATCCGGGCTGGTGACCCAGGTGGTCACCGCGGTGACGGCAGCGGCGGTCGGCGGCGAGGCGGCGGCGGCGGCGGCAGAGGCGGGCGTGGCGCGGCAGCAGCGGGCGCTCGGCGCAGCTATCGACACCCT